TCAAATTCAAATTGATTCAAATTGATTCGATCAAATATTTGAGTTCAATTCAATTCAATTCAATTCGATTTGAAAAATCAAATCAAATCAAATTGCTTAAATATTTGATTTGATTCGATTTTGAGGAACCCTAGTAATTACCAAAAATTTTTACAATGTATTACAACTTATATTACAATTAAATTTATTAAATTGTAACTCAAATGACATTTAAAAATAATTTTGGAAATTACCTTTAATTTATTAAATTCAAATATAATTTGTTAATAAGATTGCTTGTCTAAACTTATTTTAGATTTGGCTAAATATTTAAACCTTTAGTTTTGCTAAATTTTTATTAAGTATTTGATATAATTTTGTTATTTTTATAAGCTTTGATATAGTAGTTTTACTTTTTTCAAATTTTGCAGATTTTTTAATAAGATTTTAATATAATTTAACCAGGTTTTACTTTTACATTTAGATGTTTATCTAAACTTTTGATTTCATTTAACAACCTTACTTATTAACTATTTTTTTTATTTTTTTTTTATAAAAAAAGTTTTTTATTTTAATTTTAAAAATTTAATTAATATATTCGATCAAAATAAATAAATTTAATATTCTAAATAAAGTTATTTATTGAGTTTAAAATTATTAACATCTAAATTATTAATATTTTACTGTTTAATACTTCATAATATTATTAGTTAAAACACAAATTATTTTAAGAATTTTGTTAAACAGTGTACTGTGCACTCAGTGCACACTACGTGATATTTGATTAAATCACATAATATAATTATTAATGTGATACAATTATTAAATTAACCAATTAAATATGAGTTTTTTTTTTGATTTCTAATACAATGATTCAATTTGTAATATAATGAAGTTTTATTAACTTTGTTATAAAATACACCTTATCATCCTATTCACATAAAAGCAATAAGCAAATTATTTTTCATTAGTAATTCTTGCTTCATAATGCCTAATATTATGACCTATTTTATGACAATAAGTACATATAACGCTTTTGGATTTCTGCATTACAGATGGCTGTTGATTCTCAATATTACTAACAATTCTACACACCATTTGTGAACGTCCTTTTTGACGTTTTACAACTGGATTTTCAACAGCTAAAAATGGTCTTTTATGTACATTGTTAACATTAATTTTGGATTCATTACTCTTTCTATATTCTGAATTACTTTCTTCATCCACAACAACAAAATTTTCCTTTTCAGATTCATCAAATTGTATGTAAGTCATATTATTAATAGTAAGTATTTGTTTGATTTCTGTTTCTCAAAAATTCTCAAGAATCGAAATCAACTTTTTATCTAAGTCCAATTCAATTGCTTTATTTATTGTTGTCTTTGCAAGACCAAATACTTTTGCAAATCTTTGTTTAGCTT